GGGGGGGGATCAGAGCCGGTCTACAACAAGAGCCCCCGCCGCCACCGGGACACACACCGCGGGGATCATCGGCGGGATCAACGCGGGGATCCTACAAAACAGTCGTAGGGGCGGAGAAACCAACGAAAGTTTCCGCGGTGTTGCTGAGGGGCCGACACGCGTATTGCTGGGATATCGTCATTATCAGGCTGATGCAAGGGAGGTGTGGCGGGGCGGGGCGGGGCGTTCAGGAGCGCACTTTAGCGATGCATTTCCTGGGTACGTGCGCGCGTCGTTCCACTCGCTGCCTCCAGCACGAGCGCGACGCCCCGGCGCCACCACCCCGCCCCGAGCACGCGCTCGTCCGCACGCCGGCCGGCTAGGCAAGACAACAAAACAAGCAACTTCTGCGGCTGTAGGAAATGAGAAAAATTCCAAAAACTTCACGATTAGCAAGTTTACTTCCAAAGTCTTTGAATAATGACCCCAACATTTAAAATTCAAACTTCAAAAAATTTCTCAGTGAAAACAAATAGTATTGTGCTAATGTTTTGTATAAAATTTTGCAATAGATTCTACTTCTACAAGCTCTTCTCTTGGCAAGTTCCATGAGGTTGAACCATATTCTCTCCAGTATTGAGAGAGAAGTGACGGAGGGACAGGTGCTCGGCTGCTGATTCGGATCAAATACACAATCGCTGCCGATTCCCTCACCTCCCGCGCGGGCCTGCTGCCGATGTAACGAGACGTCTTGCGCCCGCTCCCGCCAGGCATTTCGAGCTAATTAACAGAGGAATCGCCGATGCTAATCTGCGCCGCCAGCCGTGGCAGACGGAGTAACGGCGGAAACCAAACACTGCAGGAGTTGACCGGCCAGCCATTATTATTACACTCAGCCAGCGGCGTAGCCGGCCACCCCTCGGCCGGCTACGGGTGTCAACTCTAGAAACCATCACAGTCAACTCACAACAAAAGTATAAAAGTTATCAAAACTTCATACAGCAACTTTGTGTTTTGTACACCAATAAGTTACAATAAGTCCCTTTTCTTATCATTTTCTCAAATTTTTCTCCCACTTATCAAATTAGTGTGTTTTAATGGAATACAACCTTAAGGACTATAATCGGTTGCCGGCTTGCTCGCTC